AAAACATGATTCTAACTCTGAAGTAAGGCAGTAGCTATATTATGTTGTGAGAGTGTTTTTCTGAAGGAGGAACTGGTACACTACATAAAAAGTGGTGCATCATAAAAAAAGATCAAAAGACTTGAATAGAAATTGATATTTAAAAAATATAGTAAGCACAGGAGCATCACAAAGAGTTATAGAGTTGGACTACAGATTAGATGTTTTGGAGAGGTCACCATAAAAGCCTGATCTCAGTCCTATATTACATTTTAGACAGAAGTTGCATTTTATGTAGCTAAAAAATAAGCTTTATTTGTATAATGTTCATGTAAAGATCTGATTTCATCTACATGTAAGCCAACTTACCAACATAGAAACAAATCTGTAAACACCTCCACTGTAGTAAAAAGGGCAAATATTATCCAGTACATCATCCATTTCACCTAAAAATAACAAAAGAAAAAGTCAATTTAGCCACAAAGAGCAAATGTGGAAAATTGACCTTGATTCTAACTGTACTTACATATTCTTTCACATCTTTTGTCTTCACAGCCTTATATGAAGAGTATGCAGGATAAAGCGTTCCAAAAACAAGTCTAAAGGGAAAGAAAGGGGAATTATATATGAAAATCAAGACATATTAGCTGTAATAAACAGTAAATATAAGCCTTGTATGAATAAAAATTACAAACTTACAACAACATTAAATCTGGGGAAAATAGTTTGGGTTCAGATTTTTATCTTTTAATGTGAGGAAACATTGTAATCTGGATAACTGTCATGTTAACCTTCATGTTAAAAACAAACCATCCATGATTAATAAATATTATTCTCAAATACATTTCTCTAAGAATGTCAGAATGTTTATAATATCTCATCAGCTTTGCATGCATGATTTCCCTGAATGCAGAGATGGACAGTACAGAAAGCAGCACCTTATTGTGAGAAACCGATTTCTGGCTTCTTGCTGAGTCAAACATCAGATAATGAACAACTTTTTAGATATAGCTTACTCATTCAAAGCTGAGTCCCATTTTGCCTTTTGGATTTTTCTGTACAACTTACACACTTGGCAAAAAGCTAAAAATGGATCCTATGTGTTGTATTTTTCCTTAGACTTATACAAATTTACACAGACACCTGTCCATGAAGGGTGCATGCTCAGAGAGGGCAGTTGCAGCCACATAAACAGAGACAAGATCATATTACTGACCCACATCACATTACAACAGTGCTGCTTGCATGCTCAGCTAACTAACAGAGTTCAACAAGACAAGGACAGCCAGAATATCTGCTCCTCACAGTTGGAGATGGGACATGCACTGATTAACAGCCAGAGCTGAGGAGCTCCAGCTTGTAATGCGATCTTATATTCTAAATTTAATTTCTGGACTGTTCTAAGCTTGGTGTCCCAGCTGTTGATATCATAACCACACTTTACTGTCGTTTTACTTTTGCATTAGACCTGTATTGAAGGAAAATATTAGCCAAAGTGCACAGACATTTTTAATTTGTGCAATGTAATCTGAGAAGGCTGAACCATCCCTTTTTATGCTGCTTCCAATCTGGGACAGAAACACTGAAGGACTGAATACCAATGATCAGATACACAAGTGACATTTAGGCTCTTGTCATCTCTGGATGATGGGACTCATTGGCTGCTTTTCAATTTATAACTCGGCTGCTTGAACATGTTGGTCTGTTTTTAAAATTCTGCCTGATAAACACAAAGAGATCTGGCTGCTGAGCGCTGCCTCAGAAATAGAACAGGTCTGCAGGCCTGGCTCAGCTTCCTGCTCAGGGTCCAAACTGCAGTCCTACATAAAACACCCTGGTCAGTGAAAAATTAATCCTCCGTCACCTGATCTGGTCACACATTCACGTCTGATTCTGATTAAATTGGGCTGTTAGATGAGATTGCGGGGGCTCTGCGGAGCGCGCTCCTTCTGCACCGCGCACAGAGGCTCAGATCCGCTCCAACCCCCGGTTCCATGTCCGTCCCATTACACGGAAAGCAAACACGGAAAGAAATGAAAATTAAACGACTTACACCACAAGTCTAGAGATGATCCAGGAGACCATTGCGCTGGAAAGGCGACAGGACGCGCTGTCTGCGGGGAGGAGTTTCCTCCAGATGACAGGCGCGTCCACAGGCGTCTGGACGCACACAGGCTGGAACGTGATGCATGCAGGATGAGCGGAGACGAGGCTGCAGCTCCATAGATGGCACTGTTGCATTGCACAGATTACAGATGGGCCATCTAGGCTCAACTTCTGGTTAAATGCATTGTGCATGCAGCTCAAAAATGATGATGATGATAGTTACAAAATCAACAATAATAATAATAATATACATCAATGTGAGGTGTTTTTCACCTATGTGAAAAAGCCTTTGAGCCCCTTTGTTAATAGTAAATTAAGTGTAATTACCCACATATTTTGGTCCAATTTCAACAGCCTTAAATTATCAATCAGATCTGAAGAATTAAAGAAACATCCTAAAAAATACAGCATAGGTTAGGTCAGGAGGTCACCAAGAAACCAGAAAAACATTTAAAGCTCTGCAGGACGCCTGTCAGTTAAGGTCAGGGTTCATGATTCAAAAACAAGACAAAAACTCTGCAAAATGACCTCTATAGTTGCCTATAGGCCAAAAAAATCTTGCATCTGTTCTAATAACATGATGATGATCTAGACTCCATCAGCTTATGATAATTATATATTGTATACATCGGTCTGTGCTTTATAAAGACATTTAAATGAGAGACAATAGTGGAACTTTTTAACAGCTTTCTGATGCATTTTCATCTCTTTTAAAGTTGAAGCATTATGAGAAAATATCCTAACAACAGGGTGGTGGCAGTGTGATGTCTGGGGCTGATTTGCTGCTTGAAGATGAGGTAAGCTCTATTGCATCACAAATTCTGCACTGCAACAAAAAATCCTAAAATAGATCCATCCATCAGTTTGTGACCTTAATCCCAGGCTATGAAGCAGGGAAATGATAAGAAGCACACCAGTAAGTCCAAGGGAACATCATTTAGTAAATTAAGTGAGCCACAAAGCTAAGGTTGCAGACTCCTGACCTAACAGATGAAAACTGCGATTTCCTCTTGGTACAACTGAAGCCTAAAGCTACCTGCAATTTCTAAACAATTGCTCAAGGAAATGGTAAAGGTAAAATAATAAAATTGCTCCAACAGAAAAATCAGTAATTCTCTCTTCTGTCTGCACATATGATCACATTAAATTTATTTAGTATTGCACTACAATATCTGATCTAAAACAATTACAATTTTATTACAAATAAGTGTATTACCCACTAATTTAAGCAACTATGATGATCTGCCAAAGGAATTAATATTTTATGCTCTTAGAAATAATATAAAAACTATGCACTATTTTTCTTTCACATTTTAATGTAAATTATCTTATTCTATCAGAAAGTTCTCTGATTTACTGCTACGTCCAGTATAGGGAAAATAAACGTATTTGTAGTGTATCTTTTTAATACAAGGGTAAAAAGAGGGGCCAGTACTAGTCCTACAGTGGCACTGGTCCTTGCTGGCTTTGATAAATAAAAATCAATAATTTATTTGTACAAAAAAGACAACATTTAATCAAATAAAGGAATAACAATAACAATGCTTATGCAGAATTTCACTTTAAAACTGTATTCTTTGCTATTGCAACCATATATAAATCCATATACAAGCAAAAAAATAAACAATGAATTGTTCTTGGGGGCCCGCTTCTTACCATGGGCACCTAAGTAGTCAGTTCAGCTATGCTTTGGGACGGCCCTGGCTTATAGGAATTCAATAATTGCTTAAAAAGGCTGCTTCTGCTGAGGAAGCTGGAATTAAGGACACCCAACTGTTCATCTAAAGCCCTGTCATGTTTTTCAGAATTTATTTACTATCTAATCACCTAGCAACAGGAGATATAGATATATATATTCAGGGCTGGCCAAGAAAGTACAAACAGATTCACTGTCAGAGCTGCTGCAGCTCAGCTTTATCCAGACAGTGGCCTGAAACACAAGATAATAGACAAGGTTTGGTTACAGTGCAACAAAGCCTACAGAGGAGGGCTGGAGCAGGAAGAAACCCAATACTTTTGTCCGCTTCAAAAGCTGAGAAAATGTTTGAGGACATTATGAACCTGAGGTGTATCAAATCTCAGAAAAAAAAACAAAAAAAAAACATAATGTGGTCTTAGCCTTATTAAAATAGAAAAAAAATAAATATCTGTTATGTCTGTCACAAACAAAGCATGGATAATAGTTAATGTTCATAGAACACCATAAATATACACATCTCTTTACTGTAGATCTTATATATTAGAAGTAGGTGCAGTGATATGAAAAAAGGGGCCAAAAGATTCCACGTTAATCTTACTGCAATAAAACTGATGTTATACAATTTTCTATCCTTTTGACTGCAGCTCAAAACACAAATGCATATGTGAAATTGCTTTAGCTCAGTTTAACAGCCTAGAATCGTGTGCTTCATCATGGTTACTGTTAATCAGCTCCCCTAAAAAAATACAACATGGCCACCCCCTGTCTTCTTGAAACATCCACAAATAAAATGTAAATAAACATCTGTTATTTATATAGACCCAGTTACAATACTGATATGATAAAAAAAAAAAAAAACATCAGCTGATACCGGTGTTCATGTTGGTATATAATGCATCCTGAATTAGATAAAGAGCTCTGAATATCAAACAGGACCTGGAGGGTGTGTATTGGTGGTGCAGTGGTTAGTGCGCGACGCGGCCGACTTTGCCGCATGTCTCTCCCCCTCTCACACTGGGCCTACTGTCCAAAAAACAGCCACTAGTGCTATAAAAACTTAAAAAAAAAAACAGGATGTACAGTGTTTAATTAAAAAATGTTTCCTGACCTTCTGAGTGGGCATCTGAGGCTAGCAGGTTCACATAACTCGCAGAACTTTTCCTGATGAAACCAGTCTCAGCTTAAAGTGGGACAAAATAAGGTAGACTGATATTTTCTTCCTTAAAAGTTTATTGGTTATTTATTCTTCGGCCATCCACATAGAAAAATTATACACACAATACTTAACAATACATAAGTTCCGCAGTAACCATGTATTCTTTCTACATACTCTTCTTTTGGAAGAAAAAAAAAAAAAAAAAATCAAACCGTGACTTTAAGTCATAGCGCCAAACAAGCTAAAGCTTATTGCAAAACATTGGTAGAACTAGTATTTTATTGTGAGCATACTCAACACTTATGACCACATAAAGAACATATATATAATTATGAATATACAGAAAGTTAACAAACCAAATATCTGCCCATCACCTCTAGTGTTTCAGATACTGTAGACCGATTAATTCTTGATAAACTGAACAGATGTTGCTTCCATAAAGTTTCCAAAGAGATTAAAAACTGCCGTTGAGGATGATGACGCTACACTCTGTGACACAATTTGTCCTCGGCTGGTCACTTTGGATCATAAAATTCACGTAGGACAGAACGAGAGAGAATAACCCTTTTAGGCACAGAAGGCTGTTCATACTTACATTATATACACCTCCATAAACCTTCTGATTGACTTTGGAGAATAAAGACGTCGCTAAAGTCACTGCAGATAACAGAAAACACCACCCTTTTACTAGGTCGGATAAAAATAAACAACAGCACCTTAACTGCTGTAGCACAATGTTAACCCAGATGAAAATGTAAAACCAGAGCATGGAGCGGAGGATGCTCAGCACTGTTTCTGTCCCCGTGCAAACTGACTCCAACACCTGCAGTACTTTAGCTCCTCAGAGCTGCCAGTCTGGACTGCATGGCTTCAATGTCCTCCTCCTCCGACTCTTCGTCTGAAGCAGCAGTCGCTCCAGCCGGCTGAAGATCTGGAAGGGCATCTGTGACTTTGCTTGGAGCTTTACCAAGAGCCCCTAATCGACCAAAGCAGAACCAAACATGTTTAATTTCATTAATTTCAATCGAAGTGCTTGATATTAATCTTAAAAAAATTAATTCTGTTTTCATTTTAAATTCCCACCTGCTGTAATCTCAAAGAGGATCTTGTCAACCTCTTCCTCTGCTGCTTCCTCCATCTCTTCTCCATCTTCCATGCTCTCAAATGTGTCCTCCAGCATTTCCTCAATGATTCCAGCCTGATGGTTTACCCAGAGGAAATGTACAGTAATGTTAGCTGGTCCTTTATTGAAATCAGATGTTAATAAAGAGATTCTATTATTTATTCTAGCCGAATCCTGCCGACCTTCATCATCTCTTTTGACAGCTCCCGCATTGTGGCCTGGATCTCTGGGATTTTCACTAGATTCTGCATGGCTTTCATGACGTCTGTGCTCTTCTGCAAGGCGCCAGCAACACGAACCACAGCTAGAAAACAGAAAGATGTGTTTCTACACTGACAACAGCGGGAAGTGTTCTCCCTGACAACGGCTTTGCTCCATAACTCACCCAGTTGATTCTTCATGCTCAAGAGTACAGAGTTCATCTGAGCTTTGGATGCATATAGTTTTGTGACGGCCCGTTTCGACTGAATCATCTCCTTTGCGAGGATCACACAAACATCTTTCTGTCCCTTTTTGGCAGCATCTTTGATGGATCGTTTCACTTTTTCCTCTTCTCTCTGGATGTCTGAAAGAAAAAGAGAATGTAAGCAACAATATCATATTAGAAACAACTTTCCAAATGTGCTTCGGGCAAAAGCTTAATTAATATCCCAGAAGTTTAGTGTATCATTAGGAAAGAGGGGGTTACAGATTCATGCATGTCAGCTAAAAGTAGATGCTTTTCTAAACTGCAGTAAAGTCCTACGACAATGAAAACAGACAAGAGAACATTAAAGCCAATGAAAACGATAAAACCTTTTTTTGTTAGCTGCACTCTGCACTAAAAAGTACAATCGAGGATTTTTGAAAAGACGTACCTTCTACACTTAAAAAAATATATATAATAAATGCACATGCACAACCCTGTGCCTGCTCCCAAGAGGTAACGCCTATTAAATGTGTGCGAGAGCGTGCACAAGCCCATTTCTCCTTGTGCTTGCTCTGTTTAAAAGTCGCTGTTTGGAACGCTCATATAACCTTATGAATGAAGATCTGCAATTTTTCCACTATGTCAGCTCACCACCAGTATGAAAATGGGGACGAGCACATTAGGACGGCCTTACGTAAACAGTTCACCAGAATGATTGACAATTAAGAAGACCACTTATTTTAACCCAGAAAAAGAACATCCTCCACTATAACTTTTAATTTTTGACAATGAAAGATGTTCACCTGCGCAAGCTAGTTTCTGGGATAAGAATACTTGGATCAATAAAGAAAGAAAATGTTCTGTGGACAAAACCTTGTCTACAAACATGTTTATCTGTTAAGTGTATGTGTGTCTTGTGGTTAGTGCAGAGGAAAAATTTAAATAAAATAAGAATCGCACATTTGGTTTAAGAAATCTAACATTTTTAATTTTTGGTAAAAAACACACAGCCTTACTGGATCTAATTTTACATAAATATATTTTCATAGAAATATATATATATATGATGATTTTGAAGACTTTTATCTGAACCTTACCTCGGATTTGTCTGTCAATCACTCGCATCTCCTTCCTAATTTTTTGAGACCACTCATTGATCTGAAACGACACATTATAAAACATGTATGTTATATATGTGTAATAGGAAAAGCTAACCTATTTAGGTCAGAAGAGTAGAAATATGCTCTGGGTTTGTTTACATTGATGTGACCAACAGCTGAGAGCTAGCATGTAGACTATAACATTCCTTCCACATCAGTGACTAAAAATAATCTAAACCAATAAGTGTGGTTTATTTATATCAGAATATGGAGCAGTTATTCACCCTGCTATGCTAGCAGTGTTGGTGTAAACAAAAAAACGATACTACTGTTCAGCCTGCGGTAGTAACACTGTCAGCTAGCATTAGCAAGCTTAGCTAAATAAGCTCCTAGAGTTGTCTAATTACGAACTAAGTCCTAACAAACAGTCCAGATATTCACTTTAAAGTACTTACAAGCTCTTTGGGGGGTTTATCCGGAGTCCTGCCAAATAGACCCATGTTGTCTGCTGGCTTTAAACCAAACTAAGCTATAGCTGAAAATTGCTAGATGGGCGAGCTCTTCTACGCTCACTTCCTGGTTTCCAGGGCTGCGTTCGAATACAAACAAACCTTCAGTCCTCAAGGTTCTCAACCATTAAACTCAACAAAAAGTGTCCA